TTATATCTTTATGTTTGAAGCCTGAAATGTGGCAAAAGGTTGAAAAGTTCAAGGGGGCCGAATACTTTCGCAAGGCACTGTACATTAATTGAAAAACTGAATAATTAGGCTGGTTTAAAATGCCTGTAGTCCCGATATTAAATGTGATGTTATAATTGATTTTGACACTCTCTGCTATACAATATTCGGATTACAATTCTTATGTGTATCAATACTATCATACTCCACAATCAAACCAGTGCAAGATAGAAGATTAGGAGGTTCAAGATAATAACTAAACAGCACGATTTTACTGCATATTTCTGGTAATGAGTAAGAAACACTGTTAATCACTATTTCCTGATTTTACAGACAGGGAATCTAGTCTTTTTTGTACTAACATCTTCCAGAACCTATTTTCACAAACCTGCATCTGTGTTTTGTACATTTGGCACAACTAGAAAGAAGAACAATCTACAATCATTTGTGTGGGCATTGAAAAAAAACCTGCAGCATCAGCTCCCTTACCAAATAAGCAAAACAAACCCACTGTTTTTACATTTATTTTCACTACAAAATGTATCTGAAAGATAGGGGTAATACTGTACATGCACATAGACCAGCAATCATGAATAGCCCTGGTGCTTCATAGACAATTCTTCAGATATATTTAATTACACTGCTTCAACCTCCCAAATACACAATATGAATTTTATATTAAAGACAGGTATCCCACTATAAAATTATGGGGGCTTTCCAGTATCAATCTAAATTAAATTATCTTTTAATACAAAGCATGAGAGATGAGCATTCATCTGTAAGTCACAATATAGTGATCACAAAATCCACTTTTCAGATACATTAATGTCCATATTTTCTTGTTTCTGCGATGTGTCTTTCAAAAAGAAAATGTTTAACAGATGTGGGGTGGAGTGGTGAAGCCAGCCAACTCCTGTTGGTCTGTAGTTTTGAAAGTGAAAAGATCATTTACTTATTGCAAGTGAAAATACAAGACTCCAATCATTTTGTTGGCACATTTTAAAATTTTGGTTCAGAAACCAATATTTAATTTCATATCCTCAAATCTTTATTAAGGCAATTTCTATTTACAGTATATACAGTTCATATACTAAACTCTTCAATACACTATCAAAGTATCAATGGAGCATTTGTAAGTGGTAGAGTAACATTGACTTATCTAGCCAGAAATTTGGAGACACTATAACAGAAAAATGAAGGGAAAACAAGCTAGAAAATGCCAGGGACCATTTTTCAATATCAAACCAAGCCCATTTCATTCCAGAAAACAATCAAAAGGGACATACTTTGCATTTTTCACACAATCATACATTCTTGAGCACATTTGTGACTTTTCACTCCTCCTTCATATTAGAGTACTTTGTTTTGAGATTTCAAGTACATTCATTCAGGATAATTATTTCACAACAGTAAACAATTAACTCACAGACAGTACTACTGATTGACAGGATGAATGAACTTAGTTAATGCTGATTTTCACTGATGCATCGGACGTTTTTTAAATACTTCCAGCATTAAACTGCAATGATAGCTGTTAAAAACTGAATACAGAAAACTACTTAGCTAAAGCAAATTGCAATTTCAGCCTACTGAAAATCTGAACAGACATTTTCACTGTACCTTAAATACATTTTTGTTTGGAACAGTATACTGAAAAGTAGTGACAGGCATAGATTTTACCAAGGTAAAAATGAAAACAGAAAGGGACGATCCTGTCTGTTCAAAATACTCTTTATTGGATAGAAAGTGGTGATTTTAACAAAATTGCTTTAAACATTAATACATATACCTAATACACATGTATATACAAATCAAATTAATCAAAGTATTAATATTTGTAACTAATCTAAAATAATAATGTATTTAGAAAACAAGTGTTCAATTATGTACCTTCCTTCCCTCTGGGCTGTTCATCCCATCTGGCTCATCCATACTCACCACGGAATCGGAGCTGCAGTTCAAAGGGAAAAAAGGTTTGTTAAACTTTTACAATAACTTATAGAGTGTCCCCCGTATTACGGCTTTTCAATATATTTTATGAACTTAATAATTATCTAAACACATAAACTAAAGTGAATTCCAATTAAATAAAAAAAAAATCTAATTCAGTGCTTCTGTTCTAGTTTCAGTGTTGCCCATTTTGACCAGGAGGTTAAGGAGCAGAAAAATGAAAAAGAAACATACTAGGTTCTTTTAGAAATGCACCAACCAAGATTTTCTTGGCAGGGAATGAAAGCTATCGTTCACCAGACTACGTCAGTCAACAGTAATTTCATAATTTGCACACATATTCAATCATGGAGCATGCGATAAACTATGGCTTGAGGAATATATGGGTCTAGAAATGTAGTAACACTAATAAAAAAGAAAGAGAAAGCTTTAATTTAATTCCTGTTAGTAAGTTACAGTGTATACATTGATATTTTAGGAAAAACACACACACACCTATACCAAAATTAATGTACATATCGATCTATCCATTGAGCATCAGTACAGCTCTGGGCCTGTCCTGGAAACACAGAGCTCAAATCAAGGGCTATGTTCTGGATGGGACAACAGTCCATCACAGGGGCACACACATAAGCACACAGGCACAATTTCAAGACATCCAGTAAACATAAACAACGTATCCTATCTTTGAAAGAACAAACTAAGCTGGAATGCCTGGAAAAAACCCATCCAACCAGAGAGAACATGTATACAGAACACCACTACAGAATAGAAGCCAGGACACAAGAGATATGAAGCTGCAGTACCAGCCTGTATGCCACTCAATTAAGTGTATATTATACATGTTATATACATAAAGTAAATATTATTACATAGCCTAACCATACTAACCAAACAATACATTTCTATGTCTGGTATGAAATGCTGAATGCTGTTAGTTTTCAAAAGCTCAAAAATTTAAACAAGATTAACTAAAAAAAGGATAGATCAAATACTGAGTTGATCTACAGTATTACCATTTACAATATAAGAGTTACAACTGAGAGGAAGACATTTAACTCAATTGGTTGTTAGTAGCTAAATGAAGGATCTCATTCAGTCTTCTCTTGAAAGAAGCCAGGGTAATGGATTCAACAGCATGGATGGGTAGCCAGTTCCATACTCCCACAGCACTTTGAGTAAAGCAGTCCCTCAAATTCCAGGTTTTAATCTAATTCTGTGTAGTTTCCACTTGTGTAGTCTGCTTCGTATTTTACTGTTCATTCTGAAGAAGCCTGCTCGATTGATTTTGTCCCCGTCGTCTTCTCTTCTTAAGAATATAAAGGCTCACCTCCTTAAGCTCCTTAAGTCTGTACCGACGCCAGTGCAGAAGTACATTTTTTATAATATGCTGATAAACATTGCACTAGTTTAGCCTCATTTACAATACCGTGTACATTAAAGACTTTTAACATTACATCCCTTTATTTAAATCTGATTCTTCTTACCACACAACCTAATATTTTGTTTGCCTTTTTAATAGCTTCCCCACATAGTCTAGAGACAATGTAAATGTAACAACATAAGTTTTTTTTCAGAGCTATTTCCATCTCAGTTGTTCACTAAATGTTTAACAGGTTGTTTAGGCAATACCTGAATTTTCTAAATAAGATACCAGAGAACAGTAAATATGGATTCCCGTATAGGTGATTTTTTAAATTAGTTCTCTATTAATTGTTTCCATAATCTTACATGTAATAGAAGTCACACCTGTCTTGAGTGACTGTTGGAAGAGTTGCGTCAATGACTTGTAAACAATACCTAATATTCTTTACTTACTTTAACAGCAGCTGTATTTATCTTTTGCTATTTAATGCAGCACATGAAAATTATGTATAAATCCAGTGTTTAGTATTTATGGGTCAATATTATTAAACCCAGGGCTGAAAAAGTATTTTTTATTAAAAAATGGTTTCTTTGCAACATGTTCTGATCTTCAAAAATATAACAAAAAACTGAAACTGAAAACCAGATTTGTTTTTTACAAACTAACAAGAAACTGAACCGACCTAAAATATCAAAAACGGCTATTCCTACATCAGAGTCGTCACAAACTCCTGCAGTGACACAAACTACTGTTTTGTACCTTAGAGGTTACCTCAGCAACTAAGGCATTACATTGTTTCATCATGATTAGACTAAAGTCAATATTTCAGCACCAGGCAGGCACAGCAAATATTTTCACAAAGCAATTTTACACAGGTGGAAGAAAGTTACCCTGGTTATGTTCATAAAGATATTTCAAAGGATAACAGTGTCAAAAGTAACACCAATCATTTGACTAATAACATTTTATTTAAACATACATGTAAAACATTTAATGAACATCTTCAGTCTCTGTCTGCTACAGAAAACCTCTTCTTAGACCAATATGCCTCAAATAATATAATTTTATAACTCAATTTTCTGGAAGAAATATGAGATTTGGTTATACATTAACTTAAGAGCAAAATATTAAGGAGATTCAATATTAGATAGATAGATAATACTTTATTAATCCCGTAGGGAAATTGATGTATTGAGTAGCATTATACCAGGCTACTCATGCTTTGAATATGTTTTTCTGTGGAACAGTTCTGAAGGATTCACAAATATGCAAAACTATCTCACCTACATCACCAACCTTCTTGGCCTGGAGTTTGTTTTAAAAGATGAGACTGACAACACGAGTAATTTTACCCATCCATCCATTTTCTAACTGCTTCATCCAATATAGGTTTGCAGAGGAGCTGGAACCTCACCTGGCAGGCAACAGCCAAGGCAGGTTACACCATGGACAGGACACTAGTCCACCACACAACAGACACAGGCAGACACAGGCAGACACAGGCAGACACAGGCAGACACAGGCAGACACAGGCAGACACAGGCAGACACAGGCAGACACAGGCAGACACAGGCAGAC